CTCTCACTGTTTGCAGATGACACGATCTTATATATAGAAAATTCTAAAGAATCCATTGGAAAACTATTAGAATTAATTAACAACTACAGTAAAGATGCGGGGTACAAAATAAACTTACAAAAATCAGTTGCATTTCTGTACTCTAATAACAAACTTACAGGAAGAGAACTCAAGAATACAACTCCACTAACAATCGCAACAAAAAGAATAAAGTACCTAGGAATAAATTTAACTAAGGAAGTGAAGGACTTATACAATGAAAACTATAAGACATTATTGAAAGAAATATATAATGACATAGAGAGATGGAAAGAGATTCCATGCACGAGTTGGAAGAATAAACATAGTTAAAATGTCCATACTACCTAAAGCAATCTACAGATTCAGTGCAATCCCAATCAGAATCCCAATGACATTCTTCACTGAAACAGAACAAAGAATCCTAAAATTCATATGGGGAAACCAAAGACCTCGAATTGCTAAAGCAATCCTGAGAAAAAAGAACAAAGCTGGAGGCATCACAATCCCTGACTTCAAAATATGCTACAAAGCTACAGTAATCAAAACAGCATGGTACTGGCACAAAAATAGGCACATAGATCAATGGAACAGAACTGAAAGCCCAGAAATAAAACCACACATACAGACAGCTAATCTTTGACAAAGGTGCCAAGGACATAATGGAGAAAAGACAGTCTCTTCAATAAATGGTGTTAGGAAAACTGGACAGCCACATGCAAAAGAATGAAAGCAGACCATTATCTCACGCCATGCACAAAAATAAACTCAAAATGGATCAAAGACTTGAAGATAAGTCCTGAAACCATAAAATTCCTGGAAGATAATATAGGTGGTACACTCTGTGACATCAAACTAAAAAGGATCTTTTCGAATACCATGTCTTCTCAGACAAGAGAAACAAAAGAAAAAATAAACAAGTGGGAGTTCATCAGACTAAAGAGCTTCTGCAAGGCAAAAGAAACTAGAATCAAAACAAACAGACAACCCACCAAGTGGGAGAAAATATTTGCAAATCATTTATCTGATAAGAGGTTAATCTCCATAATATATAAGGAATCACACAACTGAACAACAAAAAAACCAAACAGCCTGATTAAAAAATGGGCAGAGGAGATGAACAGACATTTTTCCAAAGGAGATATACAGATGGTCAATAAACAGATGAAAAGATGTTCAACATCACTAATCATCAGGGAAATGAAAATCAAAACTACACTAAGATACCACCTTACGCCTGTTAAAATGGCTATAATCACTAAGACTAAAAATAACAAATGTTGGAGAGGGTGTGGAAAGAAGGGAACCCCCATACACTGCTGGTGGGAACGCGAACTGGTGCAGCCACTATGGAAAACAGTATGGAGATTCCTCAAAAAACTAAAAATAGAAATACCATATGACCCAGCTATTCCACTACTGGGTATCAAACAAAACAACTTGCAATCAACAATCCAAAGTAGCACATGCACCCCTATGTTCATGGCAGCACTATTCACAACAGCCAAGACATGGAAGCAAACCAAGTGCCCATCGACTGATGATTGGATAAAGAAGATGTGGTATATACATATACAATGGAATACTACTCAGCCAGAAAAAAAGACAAAAATCATCCCATTTGCAACAACATGGATGGACCTGGAGGAAATTATGCTAAGTGAAATAAGTCAGACTGAGAAAGACAGACACCAGATGATTTCAATCAGAGTAGAATATAAACAAACACATGGACAATGAAAACAGTTCAGTGGTTACCAGGGGAAGAGGGGAGGGGGGTGGGTACAGGGGGTGAAGGGGAGCACCTACGTGGTGACAGACAAGAAACAATGTACAAATGAAATTTCACAATGATGTAAACTATTATGAACTCAAATTAAAAAAAAATGAAAGGACAAAAAAATTATTAAAAATAAAAGTCAGTCACAAAAGACCACACACTGTAGGATTCCTTTTATATGAAATGTCCAGAATAGGCAAATCCATAGAGGCAGAAAGTAATTAGTGGCTGCCTAGGGGCTGGGTGGGTGGGAATGGGGACGGACTGCTAACAGGTACGGGTTTCTTTTAGGGGTGATGAAAATCTTCCGGAATTAAATAGAGGTGATGGCTGTACAACATTGTGAATATACCAAAAACCGCTGAATTCTACCCTTTAAAGTGATAATTTTATGTTATGAGAATTATATTGCAATAAAAGAATCATTTTTGAAAAAGGACTGATTCACTTCTCCGTCTACTCTCCTGTGGGATAAAAACGTAACTGGTCGCCCAGGTGGAAAACTGATGTGGATGCTCCCTCTGGCAGGGGCAGTCCAAAGGCTGAGCTTTGAAAGTCACATTCTGTGTGACCCACAAGGACCTTATGAAAGTGGTGTTTGTTTCCATCTCCTTGCCTCCAGTCCCTTGCCATATTTTAATAATGCTCTAAATTACAGGACCCAGAACTGCTCTTTAATTACAGAGTACTTTAATAGGACTTGCTGGCAAATAGCATAGAATTAAGGGAGCCACTAATGAAATACAGCATCATTTTATCTGTTCTCCGGTGGCAGTTTTAAAACGCAATTAGTACCATGAAAGATATTTATTTAGGATTTTATCTCATTTATTCATTCCATCTCTAGATGAGTGTTGTACTTCCAGCTGCTTTCTACTCCTTCACATGAGCATTTTCTCATTTTCAGTCCACTCTTCCTCCCTCTTAGATTCCAAGGGAAGAAGAATGTCAGCTGCCTGGGGGGGCTGATTAAGGGAAGCAAACATCTTAAAGATTTTCACCCATCCCGCGCCCCCTGCTCTTCCCTGGCGTGGAGGGAGGGAGGAACAGACACAGGGAATCAAGTTACAACGCTTGCTGGCTGCCCAACCATCACCTCCAGGAAAGTGGCACGGCTCCTGGGCAAAGCAGGGCAGTCCTGTGCAGGTTGGTGCCCGACTCCGTACCAGCTCCAGGCACACTGCCTGTGCTGTCCACTCCTTACTCTTGGAGGCATCCAGGCACTCCCACACCTCTCCACTTTTGCCTCAAATGCCCACAATAGTGTCATATCCTCTGGAAAGCCCCCTCTACCCACCTTCCCATCCCAAATCACTCAACTCACCCTCCTACCCCAAAACAGAATCCATTCCTTCTGGGATCCCTTGGTCCACACTCAGTGATACTCGCTTTGGTCCACTGCTTGGCAATCAGTGGGGTGTGTGTGTCTTCCCCTTTATGGTGAGACCCTCGAGGGCAGAGTGATGATTTCATCTTTGTCCCAGTGCCACGCCCCAGCACCACACACAGCACGCTGCACACAGGAAACGCTCAACAAATATTTGCTTAATGATATCATTTCAAGTCTCTCCTACTCGAAGGAGCCATCAATGAATCAGTGTTTCTTAAACCTCTTGTCCTCCTGAAGGCACTTTAGATTTATCTGGCTTATGGCTTGTGGCTGCGCTGCTTCCGAACAGGAAGAGACTTCGATCAGTTTTTCACAAGTGCCCACACGTGCCAAGAGCTGTGCAAGGACATCACAGAGAACAAGACAAGGTGGTCCCCGCCTTCAAGGAATGTATAATCCAGTAGTGGGAGACAAGACAAGGATCTGTAGCCCTAGGATGGCAAGGAGGGAAAGCTGGCTGTTTATAACCCACCTGCCTTGTAAGGAGAGTAGATTGTACGCCATGGAGGCCCTTTGTTCTCGAGCCAGATGTGTGAGTTTGAGAGAAGGAGCTGGGAAAGTTGAATTTTTCTCCATCACCAGGGGCAAAAAAATTGGCGCTCCCCCAGTAACCCAGTGGGAGGGGATCAAGTACAGAGCTGGGAAGAGGGCAAGGAAAGCAATGAGACAAAGGGGCAGAAGACTGCAGTATGCGCCCCCTTGACGCTCACGTCACAGCAGAGCCCACCTCACCACAACTGTTTGCGTGAGGAGCTGTTTTTGCGGAAACGAGTGCAGCACTGAGTTTCATACCAGCCATGACATGGCAGAACAAACAAAACTGCTCTTACAAGTGGGAGCCCACGACGCAGAGGCGTCCATGAGAAACGAAAACCTCTTCCCTGCTCCCCAAAATTAGCAGAAATCGGGGGGGGGGGCTTTTGGATATCACTGGCTTTGGAGTCTATGTGTCTGGGGTGGGCAGTGGCATCAATGTGATGTCACATAGCTCTCAGGGAAAAGACACCCCCATCTGACATTTGGGTTACAAGATAAAACAGTAAGATAAATATGAAGTGCCTCCCTCAGTATATTCACTTAGTAAACTGAAACTGCTATGATGATGGTGATGAGGAAGATGATGATGGTGGTGATGACAAAGACACACACACACACAGAGCTATGTCCTGCCCTTCTTCGTGCCCCCATAGACTTAGTGCTGACTTGACCCCTGCAGTCCCCTATGCTGAGGAATGCTCTAGGAAACTCCTCTCTGTATGACTGGAAGGACGTTGTTGAGGACATTGCTTAGCACTGTGTGTTGACTAAGGGAAGCCATGGTGAAGAATTACAACCCCATACGTGCAGATGAGAACTAATCTGACTCCAGGGCTCACGTGCTTTCCAAGGAGATGGAGCGCACGCGGGTGGCTCTCTCTTCTTGCTCCTCTTTCCAGGTGACCAGTAAAGGCTGGCCCTTCCCTCTGAGCAGACTCACCCATGCCTTCCTTTCTGAGTTGCTCTCCTCCTCCCTGCTGGCGGCAGGCTAGGCCTGGGCCAGATTGGCCCCGGGCACTGGAGAAAGACGCAGCCTCTCACCCTGGCCCTGCTAGGGATCCACTGGGTCAGGTTCCACTGATGGCAGTGGTAAGATCAGAGACTGCTGTTGGGGTGCAGGGGCCGTGAAATGGAGCACACCTCCCAGGCGCTCAGTCAGAAGCCATCTAGGTGTTAAGTGACTTAGGAAAGGTGAGCTGGGTCAGGAGTGAAAATCCAGCTTCCTAGAGTTCTCTGCATTGGAGTTGGAGGCTGGGCCCCAGATAAAAGCATTACCTTCTCTGCCATTTGCTTGTCAGAGCCTTCTTGGGTACATACATTCCTTGGAAACCTCATGGCCACAAACAACTTGGGTTCAAATATCATTTCTTGGCTCGTTGTGTGGCCTTGGGCAAATTACTTAACCTCTCACTGCCTCAGTTTCCTCATCTGTAAAATGAGACAAAGGTCACTGTGTCAACGAGTTTGCACCTGTAAAGCACCTTGAATCATATTTGGTTCGCGGCTAGCACCAAGCTAACGTCGCCTGTTGTTTCTCCCACCAGAGTCCAGTTGCTGCAGGAGCCTGACTCTGTCAGTGTTCAATCTCTTCCCCTCAATGACACCGTGTCGTGGTGGGTAGCACCCCTATTCATCCAGCTGCTCAGCCACAAACCTTGAGGTCCCTGGTGACACCTCCCTCTCCTCCCCACAAACCATCAAGGCTGGTAAACTTTACTAACTTACTAACTTCTGTCAAACTTACCCAACTTCCTTAAAATCTCCCGCATCTGTTCCCCTCTCTTCTCCATAACCTTTCACCAGAGCCGGCCTGTGTCCCCCTAACTGCAACCACCCCGGCTCCCCACTAGCCCATTCCCACCCTGCAGCAGAGGGATGCTCTGAAATGCAGATCTGATCACGTCCCCCTCTCCCCCAACTCGCCTCGCTTATACCTCATGATGACTTTCCCCTGTTACCAAAATCTAACACCAAGCAGACTGAGTCACTGAAATTGTTTCCAGCCCTGAGGATCAGAAAGCCCCTTCAAATGGGCTTAAAATCCAAGGCAATTTATTAGCTCCCTTACGGATAACTGGAGTAGGGTAAGTTTCAGGCATTGCATGATCTGGGCTCCAGCATCATATTCTGCTGTTCTCTCAGCTCTGCCTTCCTCTCCAGGTGTCAGCTTTATCCACAGCCCATCTTCCTTTTGATCAGCATCAAGTGGAACACTTCTAGAGAAAAAGAAAAAAGAACATCTTACCCAGCCATGAAATAAAATTCCTTCCCTTCAGCCTGAGTGAGCCAACTGAGGCCATGTGTTCACTCCCAGCCAGAAAATTCCTAGTGATATGCCATCCACTGAGTCCTTCCCTTCCCTGCCTCTGGTGGGAAATGGGTCCTTTAGTATGAAAATACAGTAAAATCATGTTAAAAGGTATAATTTGTATTAAACCCAGAAAATTTTGCTTTAATGATGCTCAACTCTGAAAAACATGAAAGAACTATCAAGCTTAAAGCTCCCCACCGTCCTTGATAAAAATTTGAGGCCAGAGATCCCCAGGGCCTTGACCTCATGGTAATGGACAGTTATAGCAGAGGGCAGGAGCATGGAAGAAGGAGGAAGACAGGAGACAAGGGGCTTGCTGGCCTCCTAGGAGATGGATTCTGAACAGATGGGATGGAAAAGATAAGAAAATGTTGCTGTAGCATTGTCTGCAGCCTGGATGGGATCTCAATCTGTCTTCTTTCTGAAAATGGACTTAGCCACCAAAAGAATTGAAAGGAGGGAGTCAAGCAGCTATTTATACACCAAAGTTCTTAGCAGCATTATCCACAGTAGCCAAAAGATGGAAACAACCCAAATGCCCATTGATGGATGAATGGATAAGTAAAATGTGGTATACACATATGATGGAATATTATCCAGTCTTAAAAAGGAATGAACTTCTGACATACGTTTCAACATGGAGGAACCCTGAAAATACACTAAGTGAAATAAGCCAAACACAAAAGAACAAATATTGTATAATCCCACTTATATAAGATTCCTAGAATAGCCAAATTTGTAGAGACAGAAAGAGTAGTGGTTGCCAGGGGCGGGGCGGGGGGGGGGGGAGTACAAAATGGGGAGCTCTGCGTAGAGTTTCAGAATATGGGACAATAAATCGGTTCTGGAGATGGACGGTGGTGATGGTTGCACAACAGTGTGAATGTGCTTCATGCCACTGAATCGTACAGTTAAAAAATGGTCAAAATGGTAAATTTTATTTATATATATTTTACCACAATTAAAAACAATAGACTTAGCTCACCTGTCCAGGCACTGAGGGCACAACAAAGAGGTGACAGGAGATTCTCAGAGAATGATTGTTGACTGACTGGTCTATCTGGATAAAAGACACACTTTTCATGATACACTTTCATTTTGGCCCCATGATGCTGATGCTGATAACGATGATGGTGAGACTTGCCCCCACCCCATCCCCGACCCCGTGGGTGAAGCCCCGAGGCAGCCGCGTGTGAGAAGGAGCTCCTCCCAGCCCCTGCACAGACCAATCCCCAGCACACCCGGTCCCTCGGAATCACAGCAGGCACCCTGTTCTTGGCACGGAGGAGGCTGCAGGGTGGTGGGAGGAGGAGGGGTGCAGCCGGGATTTCCTTCTGTCAGGCAGGAAAACAGTGAGAGGAAATGGAGCCATCCCCACTCTTTGAATGGAAAATGTCTCTTTCAGACCTCGTTTTAGAGTTATCCCCTCCCCACCTCGCTTTGCCAGAGGGATGACGGAACAGCTGTCACCAGTTGGGTCTGACTCATTAGTTTATCATCTCTCCCACCCCTCTCCCTAACCCCCTCCCCTCCAAACCCACCCACCCTGAAAATGTCTAAGCACAGTCGACTATTTTAAGAACTGAATTCCCTGTCGGCATGGCAACTTCCCAGCCGGCTGTACCTCTCGTCACTGTGGCCTGGATGGAAGAGCCACCTTTCAGCAGGGCTCCAGCCAGCCTACCGTAGAGGTGGTTCACACATCAGACCTGGCTGGCGAGTGGACATCTAGTTTCTGTCGCAGAGTCTTCTTTGTGTGTTTGCTTGTTTTACAGCCCTTTAACAACGTAAAAACCATTCTTAGCTGACTGGCCGTACAAAAACAGGCCCCAGGCCAGAACTGGCCCAAGGACCATAGTTTACCCAGCCCCTGTCGCAGGCAGGCATTCACAGTTGCTGGGTTTCTCACTGTGGAAGTTAGAAAGGTTGCGAAGGGTGAGGGAGCTGCATGGGGAAAAGATGGAAAGGTTGTGGAAGAAGGCCAATGTGATTGATTGAATTGAATTTTTTTTTATTTTTTGATTTTTTGTGAGGAAGATTGGCCCTGAGCTAACATCTGTTGCCAATCTTCCTCTTTGAGCTTGAGGAAGACTGTTGCTGAGCTAACATCTGTGCCCATCTTCCTCTGTTTTATGTGGGAGGCCACCACAGTGTGGCTTGACGAGCGGTGCTAGGTCTGGGCCGGGGATGGGAACCTGTGAACCCTGGGCCCCCAAAGCAGAGTGCGTGAACTCAACCACTATGGCTTCCCCCTAAGTATCTATATTTTCTTATGCTTTTTAAAAGTTTGTTTATATTCTTCTTGTGCTTCAGAATTAAAGTCTTAGGCTCTCCCATCATCACCGTACCCCAGATAAGGATTGAGGCTTACAATCTATGATTTCCTTTTGTAGAAAATGGTATTTATTTCATAACCTCATATCATTCTGCAAGAAGACCAGATTTTCTTAAGAAATGTAGAAAGAAAACTATTTTGAACATTTCTTTCCTTTTTGTTTAAATTTTTTTTTTAGAAAACATTAAAAAAATTTTAATTAAAAAAATTTTTCATTACGGAAAATTCTAAGCACACACAAAAGTAAAAATAATAATAAAATAAACCCCCATGTACCTGACATTGCTGGTTTATTTTTAAAGGGTATTTCCGTGTAAATTAAATGGTTTGTATTTTCTTAGGACACGGATTGCAAAGGGGGAAACAATAGCTTTGCAAATCGTATTTGTATGGAATCCAGTTCTAGGTCATGTTGGAAAGTGACTGGAGGGGGAGGGGTGGGAGGACCGTCTGTAGGAGGAAAACTGGACCAGTCTTTGACGGTTACCATGGAAACCACTGAGTTAAGATGGTCGAGTTTGCTGATGGGGCAGTGAGGTTCCTGCTAATGGACTCTGAGTCAGAACTGTAGGAGAAACCCTTACGCTGGTTCCTGAGGATGCCTTGCTGTCTCTGAAACTCCCTCTCAACACCCAGTGTCTCCCAAAAGACAGACACTTTGGTTTTTTCTTCCTCGATTTTAGGGCTTACCTTCCAGTAAGCCAGAGTCCGAGTGTTCATCCACCTACTCACTTCGAGGAGCTGTGGGATGTTACAGCAGACCACTCCAGTTCTGTTTACAACGGGAGGGCCCCTACAACCCTGGAAGAAAGCCCTAGAAGGACTAGTGGAGATCTTGGGGTATTGATCCCCACATTAGAATGTGGAAAGTATAACCATGCACTCCAGAGGAGCAGGGAATCGGGCCTAAGCCAATGAGATTCAGAAGGTCCAGACTCACATTCCCCCTCCTGAAGGAGCTTGACCCAAGCGTCGAGTTTCCATCAATCGTCAATCGCTGTAGACAGCAGATTATTTGCTATCGGGCATATCAGTAAGAAGTGTCACTTTGGCATCGCGCTCCCTGGACTTAGGTCCAAGCCGCACCACATATTATTTCTACCGTGACATACTCTTTATGTCACCTACAAATGGATTGGTGGGGAAGAAACACACAAGATGCCTAGCACCCATAAAAGGCAGGCACAGAGGCAGGATTGGACTGGAATTAGTCTTCAAGGGGTAAACGTGCGCAGAGGGACAGACGGAAGACCGCCGAGGACGCAGATACATCCTCACAGCGATGGGGCCCCAGCGCTGGGACCCCCAGACTAGAGATTTTACCCTGGTGCTGGTCCGGCAGCTCCAGAAGGAAAAGGCTGCGCAGACGAGTCACGGCCCCCAGGGGGCGCGCGGGGCCCGGGATATCAGGAATCTGGGGCTGCGGGAGCGGCAGCGGCCGGAGGGCTGGCTCCATACCCGCTCTGCCCCTAGGGTGTTAGCTGGCAAACAGCAAGGACTGGTATCTCGTGGGCAGCTGCTTACCTGTCAGTATCTCCCACAAAATCAGAAGTTCCTTGAGGGCAGTGGCTGTATTTTCGTCCCTGACTTCCCCAGCTGCGCACGAGTCCCATGTCCCCATCCTAGGTTTGCTGAGCGGAGTCAAGGGAATGCATTCTCCCTCCGGAAGGCGGGAAGGGCGGCCCAGGAGGAGGGGTGTGCAGGGCTGTGAGGAGCTTTGAGGCAGCTGTTCTGGAAAGGAGTGAAAGATGGCAGATCGTCACCAAAGTGAAGCCCAACCGTTGGCGGAGCAGGGGAGCTCCTACGCTTGAAAACTCTGGGGTGGAGCCTGAGGGACAATCTGCGATTTGAGGAAGAAATAAGGCAGCGATTCTCAAACTTCTTGATCTCAAGTCTCCTTTACACTCTTAACATTACTGAGGACCTCAAGTTGTTTTTATTTATGTGGGTTCTACCTCCCAATCTTTACCATATTAGAAATTAAAACTGAACATTTAAAAATATGTATTTATTTACTTAAAATTACAATAATAAACCCACCATGTTAACATAATTTTTTAAAAAATAGCTATGTTTTCCAAAGCAAAAACTGTTAGTGAGATGTGTGGCACCATTTTACATTCCTGCAAATTTTTTAAATGTTTAGCTTAATAAAAGACAGATGGAGTCTCATTTCTGCTCCTGGACTCACTCTGTTGTGATATCAGACTGAGTTTTCCCAAAGCACATCGCTTCATACGTTCCCGAGAAAAGAGTGTAAAAAAGGCAGATAACATCTTAGTATGAAAATAGATTTGACCTTGCAGACCTCCTTCCATTTTGATATTAAATGAGTATAAATTGCACACAGTGTTATTTTTGGATAAGAATTGAGAGGCCTTTTGTAAAAGGAAGGTTGCCTTTGGTGAGGGCTGAGGGCTGAAGGCCAGACTGCCTTGAAGTTCGGCCGCTGGCACAGATGTGGCCTCCATGGCTAGTGGTACCTAGAAGCAGGGCCTCAGCTCATGCAGATGCACATTCTGTGTCCATTCACATTCGGCGAGAGTTAGAACTCTATTACAGCTGACTTTTCACTGCCTGCTGTTCTGAACTGCAGCTGGCAGAATGGTGGCCAGACTCCCTCTCTTGAGGGCAAAAGCACATGAGAAAGTTGATTCTCCTTGGGAAGGGTCTTGTTTTTCTGATTCAGATACTCTACTGACTTTGAACCCATTTTGTGGGTTCTTTTTTTTTTCTTTTGAGGAAGATTAGCCCTGAGCTAACATCTACCGCCAATCCTCCTCTTTTTGCTGAGGAAGACTGGCCCTGAGCTAACATCCATGCCCATCTTCCTCTACTTTATATATGGGACTCCTGCCACAGCATGGCTTGACAGGTGGTACGTAGGTCTGCACCCGGGATCCGAACTGGCAAACCCCAGGCTGCCAAAGCAGAACATTCAAACTTAATGGCTGTGTCACCTGGCTGGCCCCCCATTTTGTCGGTTCTTATGGAGCCAGAAATATTTCAAAACGATGGCCCCATTCACCTCACACCTGTTAGAATAGGTATCATCAAAGACAAGAGATAACAAGTATTGGCAAGGATGTAGAGAAAAGGGAACCCTTGCGCACTGGTGATGGAATGTAATTGGTGCAACCACTATGGAAAACAGTATGAGTTTCCTCAAATAATTAAAAATAGAACTACCATATGATCCAGCAATCTTACTTCTGGGTATATATCCAAAGGAAATGAAAATAGGATCTTGAAATATCTGTACCCCATTGTTCATTGCAACATTATTCACAACAGCCTACATATGGAAACCTAAGTAACCGTCAACACGAATGGGATACACACGCACATACATGCACACAATGGAATATTATTCAGCCATGAGAAAGAGGGAAATCCTGCCATTTGCAACAACAAGGATGGACCTTGAGGGCATTATGCTAAGTGAAATAAGTCAGATGGAGAAGGACAAATACTGTATGATCTCATTTATATATGTGAAATCTAAAAAAGGCAAACACATAGAAACGGAGAGTAGAATGGTGTTACCAGGGGCTGGGAGACGGGGAATGGGGAGAAGTTGGTCAAAGGGAACAGACTTCCAGTCAGAAGATGAATACATTCTGGGGATGTAATGTACAGCATGGCGATTATAGCTAATAATACTGTATTATATATTTGAAAGTTGCTAAGAGAGTTGATCTTAAATGTTCTCACCACAAAAAAGAAGTGGTAATTACATGACACGATGGAGGTGTTAGCCAACTCGACGGAGCCAACGCCACGGTGGTAATCATTTTGCAACATATACGTGTATCGAATCAACACGTTGTACACCTTAAACTGCCACAGTGTTATATGTCAATTATATCTCAATGAGGCTAAGAGGGAAAAAAACAACAACGCAATGGCCCCAGCATCTCCACGCCCCAAGCCTGCTCTGGGGTCTGCGCAGAACGCCCTGGTCGGAATGAAGAGGCAACGTGGAGAAATTTCCAGAGTTGAGTAACAGGTCAGGAAAGTTTCTTCCCAGTTAATTCCCTCCAAGGACACCTAACCTGAGGGATTATCACAGTCATCTGAGGAAAGAGATAAGAATGTTGACTCCTGGGCCCACCTCAGCTCAACCAGGGGCAGAGACCGGCTTTGAAAGCTCCAAGCCCATTCTCAAACCCCTAGGTTTAGGAGCCACTGGCCTCCTCTATCCCCATCTAACAACTCTACCAGAGGCCCTTGGTCCCTAGGCACCTGGGCATCACTCAGGGCTTATATTTAAAATTTTGAGAGGCTGGCCTGGTGGTATAGTGGTTAAGTTCGTGTTTTACTTCTGTGACCTGGGGTTCGCAGGTTCAGATCCCCAGGGCGGACCTACGTACCACTTGTCAAGCCATGATGTGGCAGTGTCCCATATCCAAAATAGAGGAAGATGTGCACTGATGTTACCTCAGGGCGAATTGTCCTCAGCAAAAAGAAGATTGGCAACGGATGTTAGCTCAGGGCCAATCTTCTTCACCAAAAAAAAAGAAAGAAAGAAAGAAAGAAAATTTTTTTGAATTCCCCGGGCCCAGTCCCTAGAGAACCTAGTATCTAGAGATTAAGTAGATTTGGGACAGGCCCTGAAACAAGTTCTGAACAAGCAGGCCTGTTCATTCTGCTGTAAATAACCCAGGACCACCCTTTACCTCAAGGGTTATTGCAGCCTGTGTGTTACAGTCTGTGTGTCACAGAGACTTTAGGGACCCACTCAGGATCAGCACAACCTTCGCCTTACTTCCCTTATCCTTTGAACAATCAGATCCCTTCCTGGGGGCCTAAATTTAAATTCCAGTGTTTACAAGTCTCATTTGATGCAGGAGACAGTCTTCCTCCCCAGTCCCAGAACTGTGTGCTCCAAGAAGATCACCTCCAAGATCACCTCTTCTCAAGCTCCAGCCAGCTCCTGCCTGAGTCCTGCCTACGCCGCATTTGCTCCAGGTGCACCGACTTGGCTTCTCCACACTCTTCTACCATCTTTCTAACACCAGCCTGGACCAGTGTGTTGCACGTGGATACACATCCATCTTTCAAAAGAGCTAGGCCAAAAAAAAAATCAGGTTTACAAACTCAGCCTTCTTCCTCCTGGGAGCCCTGCTCCTGCCTTCTCCTCCAGTTCTGTAGAAGATACTTTAGTCCCATCATCACAGGAGGAGCTGCTCCTTCCTCTCCACCCGCCCCCTCCCCAGGCCAGTGGTTTGAACGGCCACCTGTCTGACTGGCTCGCAGATTTCCTAACAAGACTCCCTAGCGCCAGTCCACAGGAGCCTGGAGCCTGCTGTGCAGCCAGCTGTCTTCATCCTCCGCTGTTGCTGCTGGCTTTCACGTTTACTCTGCATAGCACACATTTGTGGATATTAACTCATTTCATGAATCCCTTAAAGCATCAAGTTAGGATAAGTGGCTTTTTTCCCTCAGTGGTGCCTAGGCACACACAAACACACACTTTGTAATGGAACTGGGTTCGTGGTGTCCTTTTTAATCGCCGTCCAGCCTCTTTCATTTTCCCCTGCGGTCTAAACTGCATGGGAACCATCAGCGGGATCTGGGGCTCCTGCCTGTCAGCTTTGGAAGGCTGGATTCCGGGAGAGACGCGGTGGAAACGACGAACATGCACAAATCAGGGCTCCCTCCGGATTCTGGACACCGAGGCTGTTCCCCGGCACGGAGCGGGCCTGGGCTTCCCTGATGATGGCAGCCGGCAGCCTGGCTGACGAGCGTCACCGCACTGCCCGTTCTCAGGCACATCACTTCCGCCCTAGTGGGCTGACTTGGTTTGGAATTCATGCAAAAGAATTCGGTTTCACCCTCGGAAAAGATCACTATCAGAATGAAGCGAAGTCCTTGACGGAGTTGAGGACATGCCACCCCCAAAGTGTGCTGTTTTGGTATATTGATTATTTGGAGCCAAAGCCACTTGAAAACCAGCAACTGCAGGGAGAGGCTTTCTCTGAACTGCTCTTATCTGCCTAAAGACAGATCCTGCACAAGGAACTCCACAGTCATTGTCCTAAATCCCCTTCCCGGGAGTTTGTCAACCAGGGAAGATCAACCCTTATCACAGGAAGGGAGACAGAAGGCCACGCCACACCCAGACACACTGTCACAGACCATCATCCCTCCCATCTCTTCGTCTGAGGCCCATTCATCTCTCCTAAAAATCACTTACTCTCCCCTAGTTGTCTACCTCAGACCTGCCCTTCCCCTGTTAACATGATCTATAAGCTCTCAAATCTCATCTCTTTTTTGGGTATTCACTTTCTTTTCCTGTGATGCCCCTGTCCACTTTGCTTTTTGTAATATTAAAAATTAGTACATTTGGGGCCACCCCTTGGCCGAGTGGTTAAGTTCGTGGGCGGTCCGCTTGAGTGGCCCAAGGTTTCGCTGATTTGGATCCTGGCCGACATGGCACTACTCGTCAGGCCACATTGAGGCAGCATCCCATGTGCCACAACTAGAAGGACCCACAGCTAAGATATACAACTATGCACTGGGGGAATTTGGGGAGAAAATGCAGAAAAAGGGGGAAAAATAAATAAAAATTAGTAAATTTGCATACTTTTCTCCTGTTAACTTGCCTGTTGTTAACTTATTACATAGACCCAGCCAGAGGGAACCTGGGAGGGTAGGGGGAAGTCTTTCCTACATCCTCATTCATTCTTTCTTTCTTTCATCAGACATTCGTTGGGCGCCTACCTCACCATGTTGTGTGCTAAGCGTTCGAGACACTAGGTTGAAGATGAGACATAGGTACAGGCCT